TCGTAAACAAGAATCATTAGAACAGTTAAATATCGATGACAATCAATCAGTTCATGAAGATCATAATAAAGAAGAAGATGACGAAGATAATCTATTTGATAGATTTATTTGTGAAAATTTTGTTCCTTTTTCTGGCATACAACCAATTAATCAATGGTTAGATGAGACAGAAATGTTATTTCATCGATTCAAAATTTCACGTAAACTTCGACTTAAAGCTGTACCACTTCTAGTTCAGGGTGAAGCTAAACGAAAATATATTAAAAACCGTCGATCTATTAGTTCTTTTGATGATTTCTATGAATTCTTGTTAACACATTTCGATACAAATACTGTAGTATCTAGCAATTCACAGCTTAATCAGGCCGCTCAAAGTATTCAGTCAGTGAATAATCAGTCGTATAACAATAAATCGAGTACAGATTTAACTTCGAGCGTTGTGAATAATACTAATTCCATTCAGATGTCTCAATCATGTCTTTGTTCTAGTAATAAGGTCATTGTTAAAGATACCACCGAAGTTAACGGTGATGTATCTGAGTCTAAGTTAACCGGAAACAATTCATCAACAGATAATACTTCGCTTAATTCAGTTGTAAATGACTTACGTAAAGCAATTCTGACAGATTTTATTAAAAATCCAAAGATTTTTCGTGGGAATAAAGATGATGTAATTAAGTGGTTAGAGGAAATCGATCATTTAATGCAAACTGCACATGTTCCTGAATGCAATCGACTTGATTTAATTTCGTATTCTTTACGAGGAGACGCACTTCAATGGTATCGAAACAACAGATCTACGTTAACTAGTTGGAGTCTTTTTGTTCAGGAAATTAAAAAAGCATTTACATCGTCATTTTGTGAAGAGTTAGCCTTTAAAACTCTCGAATCATATACACAAAGTGCAAATCAGTCAGTTCGAAATTTTTACAACGAAGTAATTAAGTTGTGTAAACAAGCTGATCCTAGTATGAGTGAATCAACTAAATTGAAAAATCTTTTAAACAAGGTTAAACCTAGTATTCAACTTGAAGTACGCAAGAAAAAACCAAAAACCACTGTCGAATTTCTTGAGTATGCTAAAGAAGTTGAAGAGTTGTTACAA